AGAAGTAAAAGACAAAAATAGTCGCTGAGATTCGATGGTATTGGCTTCGTTCCTAATAACTGAAACAAAAGAAAAAACTAATACAGTCGTAAAACCGTAACAAAGACAGATCGGGTGCGCTGGACTGTGACCAGTTCGCGATGACTAGTTGCGTACTAGGAGAACCAGCTCCTACAAAAAAAAAAAAAACCGGAGAAAGGGCAGAAACGTCGGGATGTCAATCCACTTCTTGAACGGTGGGACCCCCCTTGGATTCCTTTCCCTCGGGGCGATGGAGCTTGGTCATGATGGGGGAGCAGGCCTTCTGGAGCTCCTCCCGCTTCCCTTCGTATTCCTCCTCGTCGGCGAGGTGGTTGTTGTCCAGCCAGCGGAGGACGGCGTCGCACTTGCTCAGGACTTCGCGTCTGTCCGCGTCGGTGAGCTTGGGGCCGGCCGACTCGGCGGCTTGCCTCGCGGTGAAGGCGTAGTTTTCCAGGCGGTTGCGGCTCGCGATCCGAGAGCGTTGCTTCTCGTCCTCTTCTCGGTAGCGCTCGGCGTCGTTCACCATCCGGTCGATCTCGTCTTTCGTGAGTCGGCCCTTGTCGTTCTTGATCGTGATCTTGTTGCTCTTACCCGTGCCGGTGTCTCTGGCCGAGACGTCGAGGATCCCGTTGGCGTCGATGTTGAAGGAGACCTCGATCTTGGGGACGCCGCGGGGAGCGGGCGGGATCCCGTCCAGCTCGAAACGACCCAGGAGGTTGTTGTCCTTCGTCATGGCCCGTTCGCCCTCGTAGACTTTAATGCAGACGCAGGGTTGGTCGTCGGAATAGGTCGTGAAGGACTGAGAGGTCTTGTTCGGGATCCGAGTGTTGCGTTCGACTAGCTTCGTCATGACCCCGCCGGCCGTCTCGATGCCCAGGGACAGGGGTGCCACGTCCACGAGGAGGACGTCTCGTATGTTCGAACTGGAGTCGCCCGTGAGGACGGCCGCCTGGACGGCGGCGCCGTACGCGACGGCTTCGTCGGGGTTGATGCTGCAGTTCAGGGTCTTGCCGCCGAAGAAGTCCTGGAGGAGCTTCTGGATCTTGGGGATTCGGGTGGAGCCGCCGACGAGGACGATGTCGTGGATCGCGCCTTTGTCCATCTTGGCGTCTCTCAGCGCCTGCTCCACGGGGTTCAGGGTCCCTCGGAACAGATCCATGCAGAGTTCCTCGAATCGGGCTCGGGTCATCTTCGAGTAGAAGTCGAGTCCGTCGTACAACGCGTCGATCTCGATGTTGGCTTCCGTGCTGCTCGACAGGGTTCTCTTCGCGCGTTCGCAGGCCGTTCGCAGTCGTCTCACCGCTCTCGGGTTTCCGCTCGGGTCCTTCTTGAATTTCCTCTGGAATTCTTCCGCGAAATGCTTCACCATGCGGCTGTCGAAGTCCTCGCCGCCGAGGTGAGTGTCCCCGGCCGTGGACTTCACCTCGAACAGAGACCCTTCGTCGATCGCGAGGACCGACACGTCGAACGTCCCACCCCCGAGGTCGAAGATCAGCACGTTCCGCTCCCCCTTCAGGTTCTTGTCCAACCCGTACGCCAGGGCGGCCGCCGTGGGTTCGTTCACGACCCGAAGCACCTCGAGCCCTGCGATGACCCCGGCATCCTTCGTCGCCTGCCGCTGAGAATCGTTAAAGTACGCCGGCACCGTCACGACCGCCTGCGTCACCGCCCCGCCCAGATACGCCTCCGCCGTCTCCTTCATCTTCGTCAGCACCATCGAAGAGATCTCCTCCGGGTAGAACAGCTTCGCCTCCCCCTTGAACTCCACTTGGATCTGAGGCTTCCCCCCCGTGCCTTGAACCACTCGGAAGGGCCAGAGCTTCATGTCCTGCTGGACGGAGGCGTCGTCCCACTTCCGGCCGATGAGGCGCTTGGCGTCGAACACCGTGTTCGTTGGGTTCATGGCGGCCTGGAAACGATGAACGGTACATGCAGCTTTACTGTTTAGCACAGGTACGACAGCGCCTGTGATAGTCAGATACTAATTACATTCCTGGCCGATCCCAATTGGATCGTCCGTACTCGAGCGTCAAATGCAATTACTTTTTGCATCGATTAGTACTACAGGATGGCTAAAAAAAAAACCAAGCTATTGACTTCAATGTGCTGTAAATAAGGCTGCAGTGCTTTGATTTTAGCAAGCTTATAGGCACATGTGAAGCAACTCTTTTGCAGCAAATATAAAATTATATGGTATGATG